GTCCTGCCTACATCTGCTTGGTTCTGCTGTGTCTGTCGCTAGAGGATCAATTTAGTCAGTATGTATATGGTTGAAAGTGTGCACAGCTGTGTGTCCTGGTCTGCCCCATACTAGGCTAAAGCTCATGCCAAATGGGGTGTTTTATTTTTGAATGACTCCAGTAAACAAATGCCTCAGTAGCCTGTCTTTGGACCAAATTAGGGAGAGAAATACCCATTTGTTACCTCCATCTTTTTGTTTCTCCAGAAAAAGAAACACAGGAAGCACAAACACAAAGGCAAGCAAAAGAGTAAAAAATCAGAGAGAAGCAGTAGTTCTGAGAGCAGCAGCAGCAGCAGTGATAGCCAGAGTGACGAGGAAGGAGCTGTGGACATGTCACCCCAGGAACTGCTGAGACGGTAGGAGAGGGGCCCTCAGAAATTGCTCAGATGCTTGGTCGATGTATTTGCTTAGAGGCAAAGGTCAGGGATGGTAAAGTTGTAGATTAATTAGGCATTTTTAAAAGTCAAGTTTTACTTACATATACGCTAGGTGCATAAATAATCACTGTGAAAACTCAGACCTTCACATCAGGCTTATAATGGCCTTGACCACTTCCCCAAACCTCTCTCTTACTGCAGCCTCTGCTGTCAGCTTTATATGTAACTTTCAAGATTTTGTGCAGACAACCACACCCACACCCCCACACATACATGCACATGCCCACATAACATGTACACACACACTTTGTTGTGCATTTTTAATATAAATAATGTAAGTTTATGTAGCATAAATCCGTAGGGCAGGAACATGTTGAATAAATAAATACTGCTAAATTGTTTCCAGAAGTAGCTATATCTATTAAAATTAAGAGAGTTTCTTGTTACATCAGTTATAAACAGTTCACAAACGTTTGCCAGTGTGATGGGTAAAGAATGGCAGCTCATTTTAACTTGCGTTTCCCAGACTGTCCTCTGTGTCTCAGCCTTTGCCGTGGGCCCTTTTGCGAATAGCTTCTTCATGTCCATTGCATAGTGGTGGTCGGTTTTCTGTTGGATTGTTTGTTTTACTGGGTCTTACATACTGTTTCAATGATTTTTAGGAATTACAAAAGAATTATTCTGGCTATTGACCCTTTGTGTTTTAGTATGTTACCTATCATGGTTTTAAACTCTCTTTATTGTAGAGGAGCTCTAATTTTGTTGGTGCACTCAATTTTACCAATTTTTTTTGTTGGTATGTGTACATATACTATATGTACATATACTATTCTTTTGCTTTTACAGTTTTTCTGTTTCATCCGTTTGGATTTTTTGTTTTGTTTTATGTGAACAGAGTAGGGTAGGCATCTAACTCAGCTTTCTCCAAATGGATACCTAATTGTACTTGACATGGTAAGTGTGCTAGCTACAATGAAAAGAATACCCACATCCCAGTGGTGAAGCACAGTGGAGCATAAATAGAACTGGGAAAGGTACTCAGGATCCCAATTTGCTCCACTTCAGCATGTGGCCCTAATGGGGAGGGGGACAGGTGGGAGGATGGCACTGAAAGTGTTATGGTCCTGCCTGGAAGTTACCATTTTCACTGCCACCTGGAGTCCATAGCTCATGCAGGGGAGTGTGGCTTGAATATGTTCTAAATCCCTGTGCTCAGATGAACCTATTCATGGATTGTCTATTCTGATTTCTTAGTCATTTTGTATTTTTCTAGACCACCCTGTTTTAATTTTTCTGTCTATGTAGTATATTTTGCTCCCTGGAAAGACAAGTGCCACCCTCTTGTTCTTTTTTGTCTATTTTTTAAAATTAAGGTATCATTGATACAAAATCTTATGCCCAGATTTCACATGAACAACATTGTGATTACTACATTCCCCCCTGTTATCAAGTCCCCACCACATACCCCATTACAGTCACTGTCCATCAGCATAGTAAGATGATACAGAGTCATGACTTGTCTTCTCTGTGCTATACTTCCTTCCCTGTGCCCCCCGCCCCCATATTGTGTGTGCTAATCATAATGCCCCTTAATCCCCTTATCCCTTCCTTGCCACCCACCCTCCCCAACCCCTTTCTCTTTGGTAACCGGTAGTCCATTTTTGGGTTCTGTGAGTCTGCTGCTGTTTTGTTCCTTTAGTTTTTGCTTTGTTCTTACACTCCACAGATGAGTGAAATCATTTGGTAGTTGTCTTTTTCCACCTGGCTTATTTCACTGAGCATAATACCCTCTAGCTCCAACCATGTTGTTGCAAATAGTAGTATTTGTTTTCTTCTTATGGCTGAATAATATTCCACTGTGTATATATACCACATCTTTATCCATTCATGTACTGATGGACACTTAGGTTGCTTCCATTTCTTGGCTATTGTAAATAGTGCTGCAGTAAACATAGGGGTACATATGTCTTTTTGAATCTGTGATTCTGTTTTCTTAGGATAAATTCCTAGGAGTGGAATTCCTGGGTCAAATGGTATTTCTATTTTGAGTTTTTTGAGGAACCTCCATACTGCTTTTCACAATGGCTGAACTAATTTACATTCCCACCAGCAGTGTAGGAGGGTTCCCCTTTCTCCGCATCCTCACCAGCATTTGTTGTTGCTTGTCTTTTGGGTGTTGGCCATCCTAACTGGTGTGAGGTGATATCTCATTGTGGATTTAATTTGCATTTCCCTGATTAGCAATGTGGAATGTCTTTTCATGTGCCTGTTGGCCATCTGAATTTCTTCTTTGGAGAAGTATCTTTTGAGATCCTCCTTTTGTCTATTTTTTTTGAATGGACAATGCATCCTAATGATTCAGAAATACAGAGCATATGAACATTTCAGTTTAATCTAGAGCACCATGACATGGCTGTGCCAGTAGTGATGGGGTGGGTCAGGCACCATGGACATTGACTCATTTCATCCTCACATGACTCTGCTTGCTCACCTCATCTCATAACTGGGCAAGCCAGTTCCAGGGAGGTTAAGTCACATGGCTAGGCCCACAGAACCTCCCCAACACCTGCTCTCATCTCTCTTGACCATTTGGGGCCATTTGATACATCATTCCTATGGGGCAGCATTTGCTTTTGCACACAGGGAAGTCCCTCAGTGCCCCTCAGGAGGGTGTGGTGGGCTGGGCTTGGCCAGCATGCTGTGGAATACGATTGGGCAGTCAGAATGCATGGGCAGATAGCTGTGTTTTGATTGGTACTTGAAACTTACCAGTAAGAGATCAAAAGCTACAGAACTGTGTATACAGGTTGGTATTGTTGATGTGAAGTCTATTTCCCTGCATGCACATATCTACACATGCGCATACAGGGAGAGGGCTAGAAGGATTCTACCATACCTGCGAGCACCTCTCCCTGAGGAAGGCCTGGGATGGGAAAGTACAGGGCCAGAAGGGTGCATTTAAATATTGCTCTTGTGGTTGCTAAAGGTATAGTTCCATAGCCCCTCCCCACTAAGCCTCCTAGGTTCTCACCAGGGAGCCTGCAGGGGACCCCTCCATCGTTTGTGCCCTGCTCCACTCTCTGCATCTGTCTTCTGGAAGGGGCCCTTTGAGGGTCACGACCAGGTGGGTCTCATTTGCATCCCTGGCCCTGGCATGGAGACCCACTCTTGGTAAGGGCCCTGATGCTTTTCTGCAGCGACAGTGCAGCCAGTGCCAGATGCAGCCTGACCCCCACCCCATCCCCAAGAGATACCAATTTGTTTCCTATCCCTGTCAGTTTTGTCCATTTCAGAATTTCATAGATAGGGAATCATACAGTTCAGTAAACTTTTTAGTGCACATGTACATATCTGTGGAGCAACCATAAGTTCACAGCTCCATGTGTTCTCACTACCTGAATACGCCCAGATCAAGGAATAAACCAGAACCCCAGAAGCTCCCCCAAACCTCCTCCCACTTGCAATCCCTCCCCCTTCCCAAAGGTAGTCACTTCTCTGGCTTCTGTCACCACTGATTACTGTTGCCAGTGTTGGAACTTTCCTTAAAGGAGCCACATAGTATAAGCTCTTTTGCACCTGGCTAGTGAGACTCCTCCGTATTGTGTGGCAGCAGCTGGCTCATTCTCGTTGCCATGGAGTGTTCCTTTGTGTGAGTACACCACCAAATTTCCATCTGTTCTGTTTGGGGGACATTTGGGGACATCAAGGATCTGAGCCAGTGTAACCAAGCCCCTCTTGGTGAGTAGAGTTGCCGTGAATGTTCTAGTGTGCGAAGCCAGGATTTAAGGTTGGCAGCCCTTGACACCCTTGAAGGTTGACAGGGAGCTTTTGGCCCTTGAGCAAGCATTTTTTTTTTTTGGTTCTTTCCCAAAGGTCATGCATGAGATTAAGTGTGTGAAGCTTTTTTATGAACAGATCCTAATATGAGAGGTGGGTGAGTTTTGGTAGTAATGAAGAAGCATTTTAAGAAATCATATCACATGATGTTTTCATGGTATGTGGTCATCCTCTATATTTTATGAGTGCAAATGTGCCAACTGTGACTCCAGGAGGTCTGGCATGCTCAGCCCCCATGGAGCTGTCTGGTTTTTCAGTTCGTATCTCACTTTCCTTCTTCCTATCTTTTATTTCCTTTTCCAGACTGAAACGTCTTCCACTAAAGAAGCAGTAACTGACTTCTTCCCTGGCCTGTCCCAGTGATAGATCTCCGTGATGGAAGCTTGTTGATTACTAAGTTAATACGTTGTACAGATTGTATGTATGTGTAAATTCATGCTGTAAAATAATTTTTAAAACCTTGACATTTCAAAGGCTGCCTTGGAAGGTTGCAGAAATTGGTTTCTATTTTTAACTTCAGTTACTGTCAGGAAAAAATTCAGAATGTACATCTAATTAAAATGGAATTTTTCTATTTTATTCTTGATTTTTTTATTTCCTGAAACTTTAAAAAAGGAATGAATTTTCTTTAGTTTTGTTATGAGGAAAGCCAGGTCCAGGTGAGAACAGTTGGACTTATTTAAGGACCTGTTTGAGAGGGAAGCCGTAGCTTTCCCACTGCTGTTCTCCTTGGAAGTACGGCTGATGGTGGAGGCCAGGAGCCTGGTGGGTGCCAGAAGCTGGGATTCTGGTAGGTAGCCTCAGCCTCTCAGGGTGGATGTCACCAAAGTATCTGACGCAGGCCCCAAGACCAAGAGCATCCGCACCCTCTGTCACACAGGCTTCAGATCGGTGCTGTGTAGCCCTGGGTCCCTGCTCTGAGGCAGCCTCACTTGTACTGTGAGACCTTTGGAGAAAAGTAAAGTGCAAACGTGTTTTTACAGAATAGAAGTAGCATCACAGAAAGATCAGGACAATTTTAAAGGGAAGAAAATCACTTCTACCACCCAGAGATGACAACCCTTAGTATTTTGGGATATCCTTCCTTTTTCTGTCTGTGGGACTCCTACCTGGCTAGAGGTGACATTTT